TCCTCCATAATGCAGGCTAGAAAAGTCTACTCAGTTTTATTTAAAATCTGTATGTGTTATAAAAGTACATAGTATAGAATTTACAAGAATGACACTATATAGATATGAAACTCATGACATATTGATTAAACATATTGAATGGATTTTAAAAACTAATTTATATAAATGACTATAATAGCCTATATTATGTTTTGCTATTGAGGCATATGGTAGTAAACTTGAATTTAATTTTAAATTTACATAAATATAAAATTCCATAATTTTATCCATAATGCATATGAAATGGCAATTAAAAGGAGGACTGTACTTTATATAGTTGAGACTGAAATCAATAATCTAGAAATTTAAGGCTTTTGTTTTGTTTTGGTTTGGGTTTTCTCTGTAGCTTTGGAGTCTGTCCTGGAACTCACTCTGTACACCAGGCTGGACTCGAATTCACAGAGATCCACCTGTCTCTGCTTTCTAAGTTCTGGGATAAACACAACACACACACACACACACACACACACACACACACACACACACCACAACACACACATAGACACAATACAAATACTATAGTCACAAATTACACTTCTGAAATTATAATCATGGTTTTAGGCACAAGAGAATTTTGTTACTATATATTTCTTTAAACTTCCAGAGCTCATCAATCTGAAAAAACTGGCTGGCCAGTGAACTTCAAGGATCCTCTTGTCCTTGCCTCACCCAGAATTAGGATTACAGGCAAGCACATTACAGGACTCCCTCAACAAAGGCACAGATACTGAAAACCATGTGTATATAATTGAAACTGTTACTTAATTATGATTATTTCAAATAACACTGCACTATAAGGATTATAAAGACATAAATACATTGGGAGAGGTGAACTTACTTGACTTTCTTTGGAGAAATAACAAAAGCAAAGATTAATTTTTTAGTCCATTATAAAAATTGAAAAATTTTAAGAATGCTTTTTGAAAAACTCAGGTGTATTCCATGAAAAATAAAGAAGATTTAGTCACTCAAGAAACTTGGTTATTAGCCAGTTGTAATGGCACATGACTTTTTAACCACTGTAAGTGGAATGTAATATGATAAATAAAAAAGACCCAGAGACTGATATTGGGGTTTAAGCTTCAACCTGAAGATCAGAAAAGCAAAGCAGCCAGCCACTAGCTGTTACTTACTCTACTTCAGACTGAAAGGCAATCCTGGCTCCACCAAACCTCAGACTGTAACTCTTCCTCAGCATGGCTGGAGAATCCTGAGACTTCAATGTCTTCCTATCTTCAATGTGGCTGGAGAATGAATGCCTGATACTGACTATTGAAGACCCTGCTCCTATCTTTTATACTCCTACAGTGCTGGCATTAAAGGTGTGTGATTCTAGGTGCTGAAATCATCTTTGTGTGAGCTGTTTCTCTTTAGGACTGGATCAATAGATCTGAGTGGCCTTGGGCTCACAGAGATTCATCTACCTCGTAATCCTCACTCCCAGGATTAAAGGTATGTTATCACTACCTCCTAGCTTCTGTCTGCTGGGATTAAGGTGTGTATCACCACTGCCTGATCTCTATAGCTTAAGGCTGACTTTGCTTCCTGAATCCTCAGGCAAGTTTTAATAAATCATAATATATCACCACAGTTGAAGGCAAAGGTAGACAGATCTCTGTGGATTTGAGGCCAGCCTGGTCTACATAGGGAGTTCCAGGGCAGACAGAGTAAAACACAAACTCAAAGGAAAAAAAGAAAGGGCAAAGGAAAGAAGAAACAAACTAACCAACTTGGCATGTAAGGGAGTCTGAAGCCTTACTTTGCTACTTCCTTGGAGCTAATGGGTATGACTCTATGATGCATCTTTATCATTTTCTGATAATAAAACTTATTCCCAATTCACATTATAGGACTTCAAGACAACAATCTTTTCTGAAGGTCTTTTATAAAATCTCAATGCCTCTTTGTCATCAAAATGCCATCAAGCCTTAAATTCCTGTATTCCTTTAGTCTTATTACAAGTACATTCAAATTCATGAGTTTCTTATTTAAATGTTTAAATTTAATTCCTTAATCCCCTTTTATTTTCACATTTTTCAACAGTCTCATACCCTATGAGCTACCATTTCAACTAACATCTTACAGACAACTGTCCTCTTTTAATATGCTTTTAAATCATCTGTTAATTGCACGAAAATCTGGAATACATCTTATATTCTATGCCCAACTTGCTGAAAAAAGAGAAGGTAATGGAAAAACAGGAATTCCTTCCATCTTTGATCCTCTCATCCAAGTAACACATCAACACCCACTAGCCAAGCAGGTACACCTCTTGGACAAAAGTAATTGTTGAGCAGTTGCAGACTGACAATTTGTAGCTGACCTACTGTCACAGTGTTCATACAAAGGCCATACTCTCCATAAACGCCTCCATATATTCAGTCATGCTACAAGACCACTCCTGCCATTCCTTCCAGGGCTTCTGTAAGGCTGAAACCTCATGACTGTTCTCGCTGACTGTAAAGGTGTACTTCCATGTGAGACTGTCCTCTTCTTTCTTAGCACAAGTGTCATGCCATCATTGCATTCTAAAGGCTTTGTTTTCTTGGTGCACCCTCCTTCTGTTACCTTCAATTTCCTAAGACTTTATTCCATGTTGGTATCTGATATATCTGGAAAATCACTCTAGTCATGTCATAGTTCTCATATTTCTAGCATTGTGGGGGAAACAAAGCTGCTGGAAGAAGCAAAGTGATTTTCTTTAAAGCTGTGCCCCTGGTAGGTCTAACACACCCTGGTAGATGGCCACACAACAAAGAGTATATGGGCAGCAGTAACAGAACTCAGTGAGTTAAAAGAAAAGAAAAGGAATGAAGACACAAAGTAGGTATGGAATAAGGAGTGGATAAAGGAAGTGATGGAGGAAGAGGATAAAAATGTAAAAAAAAAATTATGAAATTCTCAAAGAATTAACTAAAAGTATGTTTTAAAAGCACTCCTCTTTGGCAAACTAATCTTCCTACTAGTCTTGATTCAAAGTTGTTTTATCTTTTCATATACGCTGCGTCTTAATTCTTTAACATCAACATGTCAACATTTTGAAGGTCCTTCCTAAATTAAGAACAATAAACCTTCATCTTGCATCTCTAATAGGGAGATCTTCCCAAATACACAGTTCATTTTGCTTCAGGTCTCATTGCCATATCTTCCATCTACCTCTAGGCAGACAGACTCACATCACTCCACTTCTAAGGCACATAAGGGATCTCATGGGTTTTTTTCAGCACCTTACTTCTGATCGTCTGTTCCCTTTCTTTTTTGCTGCTTTGTCTTCATTGACTTCATATTTCCCTCCTTGATCTCAACAAGTTCCTCTTTTTCTCATTACACTGCTTAAAGCTACTCAACTTCTCCAAGATCCCCTTTTAAATCTCTCTTTATAATCCCTATTCAGTCTTGCTTGTACCTATAAAACACACCTACTTATCTTTGCTTTCCCAATGGGTGATGCAGTGCTTGAAGAATGCTAAGCAAATTATTAAATATGGTCATGCTAAGAATATTTACTAATGTTAATGATATCTAGCATGCATTTCTAACTGATCTCCTGGCCTTGAGAGATACATTTTTGTTCAAACATTTCCTAAAAATTTGTAATCAACATGGTATCCAGACAGAAGTCGTCTTCTTCAAACTCTCCACCTTGTATCTAAAACACCCAAGGGATAATAGAATCAATTGGCCATCCAAGACCCGACTTAATTCAGTTCCTCAATCCCACCTTCACCCGCCACCCCTGACCTAATATAATTTCTTAACTAGTGGCTGGGCTCTTCAACTCCTTCTCCAATTCTAATATGTAAAACAGATCACACCACTCCCTGGCTTAAATTGCTTCAAAAGTCAAAATGCCTGGCATTACAACTTGAAGCTCTTCTATGCCAGTCTTCCTGTTTCCCTTTTTCCTTCTAAAGGAAAAAAAAAATTTAAAGCTCAAACACAATGATGAATAAAGCTCTTCAGAAATACAATCTCAGGTCTCAATATTTCTTAGCATAAAAACCCAACTACTTTCTTGTAGTGTTTTTGGGGCTGCTGCAGCAGTATTTTTAATTTCTATCTGCTTTTTACTTTCTAGCTTTTAAACACTCTTCCCATGCCAGCCTATATGTTCTCTGAGAAGTCTCCCTGGAATTCCTCAAATTTACCTCCTCGGTGTTTTAAGAGTTTTGAGGTCTACTGTCACATTATTCTTTGCACTGGATGTTTTTCTTTTTTCTTTCTGTCTCTTTCATTTTTATGTTTTGAACACCAACCTATTTCCTATAAATCTCCGTCTCTTAAGAGAAAGAATCCTATTTTAACGTCTTTCATCCAGCTCCTTGTTTTGCCACAGGAGTAAGCAAAACTTGCTCAGTGGGGAAGTCAACATGAAAGAGAATAAAGATGTTTAGTATCTCTAGTTCTGAACTATTTTACAAAACAACAATATAACTGATGCTTGCTGCTTTATCCGCAAAGCAAGTTATATTTCTTTTCTTTCTTTTTTATTTCTATTTTATTATTTTATTTTATTTTTTTGGTTTTCTTTTTGAGGCAGGGTTTCTCTGTTCAACACCTTAGCTGTCCTGGAATGAGCTCTGTAGACCAGGCTGGCTTCAAACTCACAGAGACCCACCTGCCCCTACTCCGGAGTGCTACAGTACTAGGATTAAAAGGCCTGTGCCACCACTGCCCTGGCAAGCTATCTTTCTTGTTCATTTCTAGAAATCCATCCTAAAATACACTGCATGTGTTTTTGATCAAACAAGACCTATCAACTAACATTCAATGACTAACGATTCTAACATTTCACTCAGTTTGCATTTCTATGTGGCATTTTTGGTCTACTGATTCTACTATCTCCAGAGCAACTTTGGGCAGGCCTCATGTTTTAACCCAACCCAGGAATCTGAATATTTCTTGGCACTGTATCCTTGCTTACAGTTGCTACTGTCACATTCAGGACCCACTCACTATACCTTCTTCAAGATGCTCCTACTCTCAATGAGTCTGTCTTCTCTCCACTCTGTTCTGTTAAGTAGCACTGCTGGCAACCACGGTACCCAAACTTTTCCAATACAGGTGGCACAGTAGTCTGCAAAAGATATCCATTATTTATACATTGGCAAAGGAAAAAGAACATCTTTCTTCTACCTTCTCAGAAAAATACCAAGGCCATGCTATTTGTCTACCAACATTTTAGAGCAGTGTTCACAACCTTAATAATGCTGCTGCGCTTTAATACAGTTCCTCATGGTGTAAAACCCCCCCATCCATAACAATATTTTTGTCGCTACTTCACAACTGCAATTTTGCTGGTTACGAATTATAATGTAAACATCTGTGTTTTCCAATGGTCTATCAAACTCCAGGTATCCAGCAAAACCCAGGTGTTCAGTCATGAAAACTAGAATTTTATTCTTTATATTGGTTTTAAGTGGTTTTTACCCACTTATTCAACTATATTTCTAAGATTTTTAAAACTCTATCCTCCTAAAATCTACATTATGGTGAACAAAAATGAAATAGATATGCTTTAAACTGTACTACATTTCAATTGGTTTCTATCAGAAAAATCAATTTAAAAATAATATAATGATAAGCATGAATGATAGAAAGAGCAAAGGCATACAGGAATAGGAATAGACAAAAAGCAAACAATATCTCCTCTTGCCACCCGGTGGTGTGTGGGGGCCAAGACTCCAATGTCTGCAGATATGGATGGTCTTGCCTCTCCTGGTAGTCTCCTCACTCAGGAGAGGTTGGGGTGGCAGAGGGGAAGGAAGAGTGAGGTTTTTCCAGACTCAGGGAGGTCCTTCCTGTTTGGGCAGGTCCGCTCTATGCAGGTGGGTTGACTCTCTGCAGCTGCAGACCCAGAGAGATCCTAAGGTGATGGGGACCTTGGGAAGGAGTAGGGCTCAGGAGAGATCATGGAGGCCAAGGGGGAAGGAAGAGTGAGGTATTTCCAGACTCAGGGAGGTCCTTCCTGTCTGGGCAGGTCCACTCTATGCCTAAGCCTGGCCCAGGATGATGTTGTGGGATTTGGGGAGCCCCTGTGGAGGGCCCTAACCTCTATGGGGAGCAGAGAGGGGAAGGGAGAAGGGGACTGGTTGGAGGTTGGGGAGGAGGGGGGAAGAGAGAGAATGGATTGACATGTGAAATAATAATTTTGTAAAAATAAAAAAATAAAAAAGCAAACAATAGGGTGTAGAGTACAGTTAGTTTGGTTTTTTAAGTGCTAATTTTAATTTTAAAAATTTACTTAGAAATAATTATCATTCTTAATTAAGCTGTAAGCATCATTCAAAATATAGCACATGATATCATTCCAGAGAATGTAGATGCTGACATATTTGAAACAAGTAATGATTTTAAAAACTAAACAAAAATCAGGGCTGGAGAGTAAGTGCAACAGTTCATACTGCTCTTACAGAAGACACAAGTTTAATTTCCAGCACCTAAAGTGGACAGATCACACCAGATCAAAGGATCTGATGCTGTTCTCTGGCTTCCACAGGCATCTGAACATACTCACACTCAGATACTCACATATATACAGGTAAAAAATGTTTTAAACTACTTTTATTGATTTTATTCAATTTGCGGATATCCTAATACAGGTGATCCTTGAGACAATAATAAAGATTCCTAAAGAAAAATGAGTAAATAGAAACATTTTTAAAAATTCAGGTACTTTTTAAAAACTATATTACTATTCATACTGTTCCATTATCCATAAAGTTTACAAATCTATAATTATGATTGACATTTTAACAAAAATACTAGTTCATACAAAACAAAACTTATCTCTGTTCAAAGTATTCATGTTAAATAGTTACCTATCAAATTACTAAAGAATGCTCAAAGAAGCCATTCTAGATACTTTGATTGTTGGATTAGGTGGGGCCACTTCAAATAGAATAGCATACATTTTAATGAGCAGGTTCTGATATTTAAAAAAAAAAACTCACTATTTCTTCTGTGGGAGTTGAAAGGATAGCGTCTAACTATATAGCTTAGTCTGGAACTCACAACATTCCTCTACTACCTTCCCCAAAGGTAATAGTATAGGTATGTTTCACCATGCATAGCTACACTGCAGCTGCCCCTCTCTCAACTCCTACCAGGCCCTCCCCTCTCCCAACCTCCTCTCTCACCCAGATCCACTCCTTCAACTCCATCCCCAAAGAGTAGGTCTCCTAGGGATATCCACCTAACATGACCTATAAGACTGGGCACAAATCCTTATTTCAGGCTGAACAAGGTAACACAGCAGGAGAGTAGGGGGGAAAGGATCCCAAGGGCAGGCAAAAGATTCAGAGACGCCCCCACTCCATCATTGGGAGTCCCTTGAGAATGCCAAGCTACACAACCATAACATATGAGGACCTAAGAAAATGTGGTACATTTATACAATGGAGTATTGTTCAGCTGTTAAAAGCTATAATATCATGATGTTGGCAGTCAAATTGGTGGAACTAGAAAATACCATATTGAGGTAACCCAGATCCAAAACGACAACTATGGTATGTACTCAAATATAAGTGGATATCAGCTGTTAACTAACGTATAGTCATGCTATAATTCACAGACCCAGAGAGGCTAAGTAACATGGAGGGCTCTACTGGCGATTCATGGATCTCCCTGGGAAAGGGGAAATAGAACAGATCTCAGGAGTTGGAGGGGATGGGATCAGGAAGGACAAGAAGGGGGGGGGGGGGGGGGGGGGGGGGAGTGGGGGAGGGGGGCAGGGCCGTTTTAAAAGGGAACAAACCCTAGTCTCCTAGTAATGGGAGATGCTGAGTCCAAACTGGCCATGTTCTATAAGCAGGCAAGACTCCTAGCAGTAAGACCTGGACACCAACCCAGCCACAAAACTTTCGACCTACAATCGGTCCTGCCTGCAAGAAGTGCTGGAGTATAAGTGGCCCAGAAACTGTGGGAGCAGCCAGCCAGTGACTGGTCTAATTTGAAAGCTATGCCATGAGAGGGAGGCCATGCCCTACTCTGACTGGAGGGCCAGGCACCAGAGGCAGACAGGCCAGAGACCCAGGATAGAACCAAACATGACTGCCCCCCCCAAAAAGTAAATTAAATGATTCCTAATGTTATTCTACCATACTCATCATAGATCAGTGCCTACCCCAATTGTCATCAGAGGGGTGTCATCCAGCAACTGATGGGAACAGATTCAGAGACCCAGTCAAACACTGGGTGAAACTGGGAGAATCCCACTGAAGATAGGGAACAAGGACTATAGGAGACAGAGGGGTCAAGAACACCATGAAAATGTGACATGTTCACAGAATCTACAAGCAGAGTTCACAGTGACTCACAGAGACTGAAGTGACATAGACCCTGTATGGATCTGAGCTAGGTCCTCCACATATACGCATACATTTCTTAAGTTCTAGAAAATTTCATTTTTATTTTATTTTTCATTAAGGTACATCCAGACATAGTTCCCACTTTTAAAAAATCATCAAAATGCAATTCATCTTACATTTAAGCACTTTAAGGGCAGTGTTTTCACTCTACTCAATGAACTGCTTTAAAATAGATAAAATTAAAAACATAACTAGCTACTTTAATATATACAAGAAGGTAGAGCTACACAAACACTGCAAATGTATATGTTTTCTTCAATGCATCCTCAGCTTAAACTCTCATCCCCAAATTGTTTGTATTTCAATTAAAAAATAAGGCATAGAATTTTATCTTTTTATCATACAAATTATAAAAAATAAATATTCTGACCTCAGGCCCTAGGTATTTAATGTCTTGGGCCAAAGCACTGCAGTTAATATGAAATTCCAAACCCAGAAAATACTGCCACATAAACAGTGTAACAGCCAAGTACTGTCGAAGAAGCCATATGTTTTTTCCCATTGTTCAAAAAAAGGAGATGACTTCCCGTCACTTATGTTTCTGATTAGCAAGGTGATTTATGCCACAATCACTAAAAATGCCAGCAAGTGAATGAGAAAATGCATAGTGACTGCACCAGATGTGCACAATAAACAGGAATCCCATTGTAATCTCTGGTACTTAGTTTATATGAAGGTAATGTAGGAAACACTCTTGGATATGGCAAAGTCACTCTTTTTTTACATTTGACTATAAATGATATGAAATAAATTGTGTGTTTTATACTTTATGGCACGCATACATTGATAAATTAGGTACCGTTTTGTATCCTGACTTATCTACAAGACAAACCTGGCTAAGATCATGGGGATTAATTGCTTCAGAAGTGTGAAATGCCGCTTTTCCATTCTTTTCTGCATACTCAGTGAAGAAACAATGATTAATCACTGTTTAACTATTCTCTTGAGGATCTACAAGATTGCCAAAGCAGGACTTATCCCCATAAATCCAAAAAATAGAGGTTTAGATTTGTAGCCAACAACCAAAAGAACTTGAACCTAAACTCATTTGTTATCAGATTAAAATAATATCAAGGTTTTAAATTTACTAGTATAGAATTATCATTAATCAGTTACTTCAATGGGAAGCTAACGAGATATAAGTAAAATTTGAGCACTACAGAACAGTTGTAACAAGCATACTTGTGAAACATGTAAACTCTCACTGGTCAAATAATAAAAGACTGCACTTAAGTTGATAGCCTCCCTTAGCTATGTAATTCCTATGCACTACTCATAAAAATTAAAATATCTGCATATAAAACTAACACAAAATGGCTATTTTAAGGAATTGTATTCTATATAGCTTGAGTTAAATAGTGTCTAGGGAAAACTATTTAGTACTATCTACATACACACATGCATATACACAAAGGTTATGGCTACATATTTACAAGTATATATACATGTGTATACTCATAAACTGTGGGATATCAGCTTCCCGTGAGCCTCCTAATGATTGGTACCTCAGTTCCTGGCATAAATGTATTTCTGATCATGTGAAACTTTCAACTTCTCAGACACTATGAAGAGTCCCAAAATAGGTGATACTTTGAACAGAAGTACAGAAGAGGTTTTAACATATTAAAATAATTTAGTGTTCAAATACATTTAGTCAATGTTCACTAACATCAAAATAAACTGGGCCAACGTGAGAAGAAAAGAAAGT